TCCAGTTTAAGGGTATTACACAGAAACATACCAAGGGAACACGAATCAAATATGTATCTTTATTCATTTACAATAAACTCATAAAGTACATCATTCTGATTGAAGCTAAGGGCATACAAAACTGTCTAATAGGCATAATTAGTTGGGTTATTTATCTTTTGAGTCTTTAAGGAGTCTTTTTCCTTTTTGATTGAATCGGTTCAAGTGTCTAGTTTGAAGTGTGAATGTTGTGAACTTACAAAACATTGTAGATCAACTTATTCTTTGAATGATAGAAGAAGTATTGTCCCTTTCGAAATTGTACATACTGATTTTGAGGGGCCATATCATACTATTACTATGGGGGCTATAAGTAGTTATTATTTATTGATAATTATTCTCATTTCACATTTGTTCATCTAATGCGCTCTTGAAATGAGGTTCTTACTTTAACCCAGGCTTTCCATTAAATGGTTATCACCCAATTTGGGGGTTGGAATCAAAATGTTTAGATTTGACAATGCCAAGGAGTACTTTGCTAAATACTTGGCCCTGTACTTCCTTGAGTATGGGCTTATTCACTAAAGTATTTGTCCCTATACCCCTTAGTAGAATGGACTAGCTAAGAGAAAGAACATATATGTTGAATTAAAATGTTCATATATGCTTTTGGGGGCATGCCATTCACACAACCATGTACCTAAAAAATAGAGTTCCTTCTCAGGTTCTATGTATGAAATCTCCTTTTACTTTATTATATCTTAATAAAGATCTATTCACCATTCTTCTTAAGGTTTATAGGTTTACTTGTTTTGTTCAAAATTTGGGACCTCACCAGTTTAAATTTATTCCCAAGGCTACCAAGTCTATGTTCCTCGGTTATGTACAAAATCAAAAGGGATATTGCTGCTATTATCCTCAACTTGGTTCTTGTTTTGTATCTATTGACATTTCCTTTTGTGAAAATGTCCCTTAGTGTTTCTATTCAAGGGGAGAGTGTTAAAAGGGGCGGTTTTGCTTCATATATCCCTTTGCCTATTTAAGCCACTAAAGGGGAGTTGTGTAGTGAGGGGAATTGCAAGAGATGTAAAGAGTTATGAGTGTTTCACATGAGGTCATATATAAGTAGTAATCCTACTACATTACCCTCATCTATAGATGATATTACGACCTCACCTCCTAACCCCCCACCCACAAGCATCGAGTCTTCATAGCCACCAGATGTCCTTGACCTTCCTATTATTGTTTGCAAAGAAGAGCTTTGTTGCCCTACTTCTACACCTAACTACATTTCCCAGTTACTATTTTATAACCATTTTCACCTTCTTTTAAATCCTTTTTGGCATGCATTTTTACTATTTCCATACTTGGAAATGTGTAGGAAGCCCTATTAGTACCTCAATGGAAAGATGCAATGAAGGTAGAGATCGATGCTTTTATTAAAAATAAGACTTGGGAGCTAGCAACTATAAGGGAAGAAACTTGTTAGATGTAGATGGGTGTTTACAATGAAGTATAATGTGGATTGTTTTGTGGAGAGGTACAAGGCCCAACTGGTTGCAAGGGGTATACATAGATTTATGACATTGATTACTTGGAAATGTGTTGGAAGCCCTATTAGTACCTCAATGGAAAGATGCAATGAAGGTAGAGATCGATGCCTTTATTAAAAATAAGACTTGGGAGCTAGCAACTATAAGGGAAGAAACTTGTTAGATGTAGATGGGTGTTTACAATGAAGTATAATGTGGATTGTTTTGTAGAGAGGTATAAGGCCCAACTGGTTGCAAGGGGGTATACATAGATTTATGACATTGATTACATGGAGATCTTTGCTTTAGTTGCTAAGAAGAATACTATCAAAGTGTTATTGTCCCTTGTTGTTAATTTCTTATGGCTATTATTTTAAATGGATGTCAAGAATGTTTTCCTTAATGGTTATTTGTAGGATGAGGTTTATATGGAGATCCCCTGGATTTTATGATATAGATGTAGGGAAGGTCCATAGGTTGAAGAAAGCATTGTATGGTCTAAAATAATCTTCTAAGGCATGGTTTAACATATTTAGACTTGCCTTGGACTAATTTGGTTATGTACATGCTCAGACAAATCACATTCTATTTATTAAGAAGAATAAGTCTTTTTTTACTCTCGTTGTCGTGTACACAAATGATATTGTAGTGACAAGAAATAATACTATTGATATTTATTCCCTTTAGTAACTTCTCAACAGGGAGTTTGATGTAAAAGATTTGGGCGAATTGCGGTATTTCCTAGGATTTGAGGTGGCATGATCCAAGCATGACATTTTTATTTCTTAGAGTTATGTTCTTGATCTCCTAGAAGAAACTAGGAAACTAGGAGTTAAACCTATAGACAGACCAATTGAGTTAAATCACAAAATTAATGCAAAGGGTGGTGAGCTTCTTAAAGACAAGGCCATGTATCAATGGCTTGTAGGAAAGCTTCTATATCTTTGTTTGGCATGCCCTAATATCTCCTATGTTATACATGCATTCTCCTAGAACCACCCACCTTTTTGCAATGGAAAGGATTCTTGCCTACTTGAAGAGATGTCTAAGCTAAAGATATTAGGGCATGTCAAACAAGAATCCTCTTCGAGGAGTGTGAAGATAGAAGTGTACATTGATGTTGATAAGGTCGGATGTATTGATGATAAGAGATTTACTTCAAGGTATTGTACCTTTGTTAAAGAGAATCTTGTGTCTTGGAGGAGTAAGAAATAGAATTTTGTTGCCCATTCCATTGTTGAAGTGGAGTATAGGTCTATGGTAATGGAACGGTTGAGGTGTTATGGTTGTGATCCCTTCTCGAAGAATTAGGTGATGAGTATGAAAAGCCATTGATGTTGTATTGTGACAACCAAGTTACCATTAATATTTCACACAATACATACAACATGATAGAACCAAATATATTGTGGTGATCGACATTTTCTTAGGGAGAGAATTACTATTCAAGAAGTGTGTTTGCCATATATTGCCTCTAACATGTGGTTAGTTGATCCCTTGATCTCTTCATCAAAGCAGTCACAAAAATAAAGTTGGAGACAGATTTATGCAAGTTAGGAATTAACAATATCTACTCTAAACTTGACATGGAGTGTACACATACAGTAGATTAGTCTTGATTTATTATTTGGGTGTGATCTCATATATGTTTTATATATTCTTTATTTTGCTATTATTATTTGTTTTTTTGTTTTATAGGAGGCAGGGGTATAACAATCATTGCACTTTATTTCATAATTCCTCATATAAATAGTAATGAGTGGGTGACAAATAATTACAATCTGCTCCCTTTTTCTCTCTTTTTCTCTTTGTTCTATCTTGTTCTATTTTACTTCTCTTCTCTTTTCTTTTCTTTATTTTTTCTTACTATTTTTTTGATGAGTTTTTTTTTCTTACTATTTTCTTCATCTAAATCTGATCTACTATCAACTATTTTAGTCAAGTGGGAGGAATCTAATTATGGACCAATTCATCAAAGGAGATCATTCATTGATGTGCATCCGCCCTTGATACATAGGAGAGTCGCACGAAGTCATGACATAGCCAAGTGCTTATGGCGATGTGGCGAATTCAACATTTTCAACAAGTTTAACAATTTAAACTACATAACATAAATAAAAATAAATAAATGGGCTCAACCCAATTAACATCATAAAATTGAAGCAAGATCCTCCTTGTTGAAACTTGGAAATTGGAATAAAAAATAAAATTGAAAATGATTAAAAGAATTAAGAATATGAAAGTATGTAAATTGTAGAGAGTAATAGAGTACGCATGTAAGAGAGTATGAGAGTTGTTCTGGTGAGAATGAGGGGGTTGGGCATTTGGAGTTAATTTGACCAAAATACCCTCCAAAATTAGTTGTTTATAGCTATTAGGAGTGGTATTTTGGTTGTTTTAGGGGTTATATGTTATTTGACTTAAATACCCCTAAACTAGTTATATAACTACTAGGGGGCATTTAGATCATTTTTTGCCCCATGATCCAAAATGCATAAATACCCCTAATGGCAGTTTATAGTTGTTGGAGGTATTTTGGTCAAGACCATGTTGTGTCGGCCCATGTGTTGTGTCATGCCATGCCTTGTGTTAGGTCATGCCATTTGACTGGGCCGTGCCTTAGAGGCCTAGTCCCCTCCTTAACATAGGCTTGACATGGCTCGGATTCCCATGTATAGACTCTCCAAGTGTATTCATAGGTTGTGATGAATGTGTTCAATTATGTAATTAAGTAATCAAACACCCATCGAACTTAACGTTGTGCAGCTATTTTTCTTTCATACACCATGAAGAAACAATATAACAAATAACAAATCTCTAAAGCATTCTGCCACACTGAATATTTTATTGACTCATAGCTACTCAATATGTAATAAGTGAGAGTGAGTTTTATCCAATAATAAGCTCTATATATACAAGTGGAAACTTATAGACAGATTTTACAACAAGATCTGGTGTTTATCACCAAAAATAAAGAAAAAGAAAAGAAAAAAAAAAGATGTCCTGGTGTTAGACAATTTGGGAATTGTAGAAATATTTTACATTATAAGTACATCAGAGGTTAAAGCATGTTTGACCTTAAGAAGATCAAGCTTGATAACAATCTTCATGGATTGTCAGCTAATAAGAATATAATGCACATACATTTAAGTCTCATGGGTCTGATGAGTAGCACAAATTGTGTGACAGGCATTGTTCAAACCTTCCGATTAATCTTTATTCGTGCATTTGCAGTTCCTCTGATACTCAGAGAGTTCCTGTGAAATGTTGGGTTTCAGATGGAGTAAAAACATGTTCCTCTAATGATAGTTTGCATATCAAATTGCAATTTCATAAGTCACCAACTCACAATGCATCTTTTCTCAAATTTTACAAAATTGAGCGATCAACAGAGTACCTGAATCTGTTTTTGCAAGTACTTAACATATTCAACTGCTTCCTCTAACATGTCTGCAGTATTAGTTTGCTGCAAGCAACAATTACAAAACTGTGACATCGAGACTACAAAGCATTCTATTTCTTATCAATACTCTATTGCAACTGACAGCGTTGGTTCTCAGAGTTTTAAATCCAAACACATCAAATTCAACAACCCAACTTCTGAAAACAATGATATCTGTTTCAACGAGGATTGGAACGATTAATTACCTTGTCCATATTTGGCACCAGTTCTTGAAGCTTCCTTATGCGATCGCTGATTCGGGTCCTCCGCACCTGATAAAGGGAGAGAAATCAAAGCAAGAAATCTACCGATAAACAGAGAATCAAATTGCAAAGCTGTTCAATCTCACCCTCTCAGCAATGCTACGAGGATGGGTTGCGCAGCCACGCTTAGCTCGAACCCTGCAAGGAACAGAATCTGAAAAGACCCTCTCCATCTCCATATCAGAAAAACTCTGTAACCCAACACTCTGCTCTCCTTTCTAGAATCCAAAGAGAAAAGACCCACAAACCAAATTGTTACAATCGTAACAAGAAATACCGAAATCACCAAAATCAGTACAGATTGTTACCAACTCAGCAGAAAAGTGCGTCGCAGCTTCTTGCTCAGAACCCAAATCCCTCGGCCGTTTGTTTGAAGGAAAATCCGGCAACGACAGATAGTCCATGCTGCTTGGAATATCAAAGTTGGTCATGAAACCATCACATCCGATACTCGGTTGTGAAGTGAGATGACCCAGAAATCCCGCCGGAGAGCTGTTTTGTCTAGTGAGGAAACCAAACCCCGTGTTGGCGACACTTGTCTCGAAGAAAGCTGCATCACCTTCGTCTGAACTGAAATTTGCAGAGTTTCCAACGGGGGCTGTGGTTGAAGTGCTAAAAGGAACCTGAGGCAAGCATTGGTTTTGTGTTAATGGCTCGTCATCTTGCAGCAGATTCTCAAACCACGTAGCCGGAGCCGACCGGAACCTTGCCAATCCTCTGCTGGTTTCATACCCACCACCACTTCCTCCTCCTCCGCCACTCATCAGGTGCTGTTGTTGCATCCAGTGGTTGCTGGGGGTTCCCTTTTGTTCAACAAAAGCTCTGCTGTAGCCTGTAGCCTGTAGCTTGACAAGGAAGGTTTTTTTATTGTTCTCCCATTCCTTTTCGTCTTCCAGATTACTATATTTGCAGGATACACAGACGGAGATGAGAGAGGAAACAAATTATGACACTGAAAGCCCTTCAACGCATCAAAATGTCACTGACAGATGATGAATACTCTCACTGAATTATCGATGAGAAAGATGGGATCCACCATGACTCCATGAGTCTGTTCACACCGTTGAATAGGTTGCATAAATTTTGTAGATGTACTGTGTTGCATATTGTAAATTTTACGGAGAAGTACAGCACACTGCAACAGAATTCTAAAATTACAGGTCCTATAGTCCATTAGTAGTACCTATAAATCGCATCCTGTCCATAAATTTGGCATCAATCTACGATCAAATTCATTTCACCTGTACGATGGGGTTCTGTGGTGGACTGAACAGTCACTAAATTTTATAAATCACAGAGAGTACAAATGTACAACAACAGATGTAATGTCCTCTTTTGAAATTTTAAGGACCAATGGGAGGGTATTTTAGGAAAAATAGAAACACTCTGTGACAGAATTTATCTGTTTTAATTTTCATATATATATTTTTTTTCTTTACGGAGAATTTAAAGGCATTTACGATGAAATGCCTCTACCGTGATTGAATGGCCATCCAAACTAAAGCTAAAGCTGTACAGACGTTGACCCAATCTTTAATCTTTCTCTCTAACTAATTAAGGGTAGTGGGGGACCCTTTAGTGCGCTTACAGTTCAGGACGGTCGTGTAGCAACGAGATTTAAGCGTGTTTGGTACCTGTTATGCTGTTGCGTTCTCGACAGCTTGTGCTGTCCTAAGGTATGACATTTTAGCTGTTGGGGTCAACAGCATAGGCTTTTAAGACAGTTTCTAGAAATTTCATGTTATCATAAGCATGGGTAATTATATCTCAATTTATTTTGATTAAATATTAAAGTATGGGCGTTGGGCCTCAACAGCCTAATCCAGAAACTGTCTCAACAGCCTATGCTGTTGGGCCCCAACAGTCAAAGTTAACCCTCGGGCTGGACACTTTTCGTCATCGAAAAACTTTGGCTGTTTTGGATGGTGTTTGGTATGGTTTTCGTTTTTTTATAAACAGTGTCAGTTCATTGCCATGTAGGTGTTTGTTCAAAATGTTATTTGGTAAATCTGTTTATCCAATAAATGATTATCTTGGTTTACATGCAATCCAACCGTGGGGGGAAGTTTCATTTTAACGTTTCCCCAACACCAATGTGTTTATTTATTGTTCCACTTATGTGGTGCCTAATGGCAATGATGCCTAATTGTCAACAAACAGTAGAAAAACGTTTACCGACCACTTTTCCTTGGTTTTGAAGACAAATAAAGTACAACCATTTTTTAAATAAATGGAAGCCATACCCAACAATATCTATTCCCTTGGTAACCTGCTATGAGTGAAATCTAATAATGAGTGTGGGTAAAATAGTATTACATTCAACCTTCTTCTAATTGAAAAACAAATGAGGACTTGAATTAGCTAAGGTATCATGTGCAGAGGCTCCCAAAATAGCTCGGTTTTCTCCAAACAGCCAAAGTGATCTCTCCTCGTCACTACCCCATAGCCAAAATCTCTTACCCTGTTTCCACTCCATCCTAAGTGGCATGGTGGATTGGGGTAGGACACACCTTTCCATTAGGAATGTAGAATGGGGGAATTCTTTAATTTTCTCCATCCCAAGGCAATTACCTAAAAATACATCATGTTTTGGAGGTATTTTAGAAATGCGATTATGTGATTCAAGGTTCTAGAAATTTGAGGGAAATTTAGGGGTATTTTAGAAGTTAAAATTAAATCTAGGGCTATCTTAATAATTTACCAACAAGATCGGAACAAGTTCAAAGACTATATGCAAACCTTGTCTCCACCCCATCCTTAACTTGTGTAAAGATATTTTCCCATTTCCATTTAGATTGGGGAAAACTCACTCCATTAAAGATGGGCCTCGGTTTTATGGGGAAAATTGTCATCCCTAGGATGACATGTTCGTTCTTATGAACCCCATCCAGTGGTTGTAATGTTGTATGTATAAAGAGACTATTAAGAAATGTGTCGAATGTTGCTAAGCATATAACATGGGCAATTTACCTTTAGCATCGGAAATAAGATCCAAAGTATGGGAATCATGTATCCTATTAGTAAGCTTGAAAATGGATATGTGTGGTAACAGGCTTCAGATAGGCATGGATTCAGTAGAAAGATATGGATACACTTGTATACCTCATGAACTTCCATAAATCATACAACACAGTAATAAAACTAGGTCTAAGGTTGAAATAACCATGAATATGATATAAGTATAATAATGAATGCATACTTAAATAGTTTTATTTTCAAACAAGTATTTGATAGCAATGATGATTAAAACACAAAAAAAAAAAATACCTACTAATGAGAGCATTATGGGCTTGGGAATTCCTATAGCCTCAACCTATAACTACTGCAAGAAAATAAAAGTAGAAACACAAACCACCTTCTTAGTTATGATGTTTTGGCTTCAAAGGTTTGGTGGTACTTTAGAAGATACTAGTAATTAAGCACATGCGTTGCACATATGAATTTTTTTCATATTAATTACTTGAATTTTAGATATATTATAGTTATGATAGAAATTGAATATTAATAAAAGTAACAATATGATTAAAAATAAACCTAAATACTTGTACTAAATGTGCATCTGCAAAAATTTTAAATTACAATTATTATTATTATTATTATTATTATTATTATTATTATTATTATTATTATTATTATTATTATTATTATTATTACTACTACTACTACACTACTACTACTAAATTTTGTATTCTATTTTTGTCTTAAAAAATAATTTTTCTTTTAACATTTATTTTTATTTAATATGATGATTATATAAAATTATAAATGTTTCGAAATGTCTTTGACGAAATTCTGTATTTTTTTATTCTTTGTGATTTATCTTTTTTAATTTTTTATTATTCAATTATGACATCATGAATTTCTTTGAAAATTTGGACCATTGACCCACTATTTAGATAAGAAAATAGTTTTGCTTTCAGATCAATTTTAAATTATATATTTCATCTACATTATATACATAATTTTTACTTATCACACTTTCGTACTTTTTTATTATTTTTTAAATATTTATTTAACTATCATATCATCGCTTAATCCATTTGACCCAAACCATTAACCTACAACCCAAAAAGAAAATTAGTTTGATTTCTATCTTGACATTTAATATTGTATTACATTCCCATAATTGATAAAATTATATCTTATGTATAATATTTATTTTTGTTTAATATAATGAATGTATAATATTATATATGTACCCGGTATTTTATTTTTTATAAATATATAACATTATATCTTATATATGTATAATATTTATTTTTGTGATTCTTTGTATTTTCTATTTTTAAAAATTTTATTATTTGACTATGACATCATTTCATTTCTAGGTTGATTTTAATTTTGGCATTCCATTTTTGTCATTTAAAAAAATATTTCTTACATTTCATACTTATTTTTGTTCAGTATAATGAATATACAATATTAGTGATGTGCCCAATTCTTTTTATTTTCTTGTAATATATATTTTATTTATTTGAAATTTTTATTATTTAATTATGGTATTATTTATTAACAAATTTGACTCCAAATGGTTGAATTGCTTACCCATCACCGAGAGGGAAGAAAATGGTTTTACTTTTAAATTATTTTTTTAAAATATTTATTTTTATATTATTAAAATTAATGTTGTGGATTTAATTAGAAGAATTTAATGATGAAAAAAGTATATCTTAAATATAGGATTTCATAAGAGAATATACCTTAGATATAAGATTTAATGAGAGATAATAGGAAAATAGTTTTACTTCCAATTGGTTTTAAATTTTACATTTTGTTTCCATCATTAATAAAAAGGTTTCTTATTTATCATCAATGTTTTAAATTTGTTGTTAACTTGGCCGGTTGAATCGTCACTCGGCCTTGATTCTAGGTTTGGTTCTATTGAAACTCCCCCTTTTGGTTAAAAACCATCTAACTTGGGCAGATCAACCATTGACTCGTTCGACCTAGTAACCAAGTCGCAGGTTGCACACTTAATTATGTACAAACTTTTGAAAGCCATAACTTTGCACTCCAATGTTCGATTGGGGTTATTTTTTTTTATTTTGAATAATTTTTCAAGATCTATACGCCCCAAGGGCCTTATGCGCATTGCCTTGCTATTTTTGTGGAAAAAACCCCCTTTTTTTGGCCCCAAATTGTAATTTTAATATTTTTTATAAATAAAAAATTTAAAACTGAATTAAAAAACATAAATAAATGTAACATAATACATATATTGTATGTAATATATGTAAAAGAATAATTATAAAATATATGTAAAACATAACTATGATATATGTAAAACACAATTATACTATTTATTGATAAAATATGTATTTTTACACATGCACACACACATAGTGTTGATGCAGAGTAGTTTGACTCGTTTAACCTTGATAGTCGAACTAGTGACCTATGACCCAAAGGCAAAAGTTGGTTAGCCTCCGGGTTGGCTTTTAAAACATTGTTTATCATACTTATTATTGTTTAATATGTCAAATATGTGATGTTAAAAATGTTCCCATTTTTTTAATTTCTATATTTTTGAATTTTATTATTTAAGTGTGGCAGCATGGATTGGCCCATTTGACCCAAATGTTTGAATTTCTTACCACCACCTAGATGAAAACTCTATTTTTTCATGTTGATTTTAAAAGTATAAGTTTTTATGTTATTGAAATTATTAATTTATTATGTATGGATTAAAATATAGAATTTAATGATGAGAAGAAATAAAAAAAACCTTAAATATATGATTTGGTGAATGCAAATTAATACCTTAAATGTTGGATTTAATGAGAGAGAATTGAATGCATTGAATATCTTAAAATTATTTCTTTTCAACTCATTTAATATCAATACCAATTATGCACACTATTTGCCCTCATTTTTTATTAATAAATTTAAATATAGAGGGATAAATTTTATCCTCACAAAATTCCAGAAATTTTCTTGAGGCTATTCGTACTTTTTTAAATAGTATAGATTTTGATATTCCTTTCATACCCCTCCAAGTAATTAGAGATCGCC